GTTCCCACTCACAATGGAAGAGCCCGCTCCAGAAAAAAACTTTGATGAGCAGCGCCGCCTTGTTCCTGCTGCCTCCGATTGGCAGGAGCCTGGACAGCCTGACAAAGTCCCTCTTGCTGATAGTGTGCCACCTGAAACCCCAAAGTTCCGATAAGCTGCGACTCCTTCCCACATCCCTGAACGTCGGTATGATGGCTGTAGCAGGCAAGTTCAAAGGCCAGATCTGAGTCAGAGGGATAAAGATCATCTCTGGCAGAGCTGCTGGCATGCCTATGATGACGCCCACGCAAAGCGTCAAGGCGGCTTGTTGAGCGAAGGGTAGGTGGTAGAAATCCCATTGAGACTTGACGGGCACATGAGATTGACTGACGTAGACGATGGCCCATGCAAAGAGCGATGCATCCAAGATGGCATACCACCAGCTCCCTTCGCTGTAACCGAAGGGTTGAAGTTCAGCCTTGTAGCGAGGCAAAGCTTGGCCTGTCCTCCTAGCTTCGGACTGAACAGCACCCGCATGCTCCAACTTGCTCTTGCTCCACTCCAGTGCCCTCATCTCTTCGATAAAGAGCCAAGAGGTGCCTAGTCTGCGCATGAACATGACGTCTAGCGCCCAAAGCGCTCTATCCGCTGCGCGCGTTGGCAGATCTAACAATTTCCATTGTTGCGGGATGATCTTTTGTTGGCGAGCCCATGCAGGTCGCCCAGGCAGCGGTGTGCGCTGCCAGAAGCAAGGTTTGGCAGCTGAAGAGTGTGCTACGTGGTGCTTGGTGCGTTTGCCGTTGCGCACCGCCACGCTCGCTTCATTCCCACGCCCATCCTCCACCCTTTGCCAGACGGGAACGCACCAGCGAGGCGGAGGTTTGCCCTCCAGGTCATAGACCAGTCCCACATCCAAAGTCTTTGCAAAGAGGTGCCAAGCTAGCGCACCGAACGCTGTGTCCCTGATTGTAGAGCCAAACGTGTAGTGTCGATTGAGAGCCCAGTCGATGACAAAGTAGAGCGTGACAAGCATCAATCCCAAGCGGGTCATGCGGCCTCGAAAGGACATGTCGAGTAGGGTGAGAAAGGAAATGTAGTGGAGAATCATCACTGCCAGAAGGGTAGCGAAAGGCGACCACCAGGCTCCATGCCATATCGTCTCGCCCGCAAACTGGAGCTCCATTATGCAAAGGATTTGGTTAGAGCTGAGTGTGAAGCTCGGGACCTAGCTGAAGAAGCGAGCGAGCGCTGTGTTGATGCCCCTCTGTGTGCGGAAGTGTGCGTGCCGAGTGCTGGAAGCTCATTCGAGAGCGAGAGCGAGTTGATGTGATGTGGTGTGATGTGGTGTGATGCGATGTGGTGTGATGTGATGTGATGTGATGTGAAAGATGGTGGTATGGCAGCCAAATGCCAGGTAGTCGTTGTCTTTGGTGCGAAAAGAATAGGAATAGCGCTGGCTGTGAAGCTGGATTGTGAGCGGCGATTGAAGGCCGAGGGAGGGGAGAATGTCCACCGCTATAAATACGCCAAGCCGACGCGATCGCGATCGCGGGCTGTTGAAGCTCATGTGCTGGCCGTGGCGACTGAGTGGTTGGCTGATGAGCTGGGCTGAGCGATTGGTATTTGCTGAAGCTCTCATTTGCGGCCATGCCCCAATGATCCACCTCAGAGGATGGCTATCACCATTCCAACACCGAGCTACGCGCGGACCGTCAAATTAGCTCAGCTGCAACGGCAGGGTACGTCCGGAATTGGAATTATGGTTGAGAGCATGCAGATGCGAGATTCGAAATGAATTCGAATCGCAATTACACATACACAAACACGAATGACAGTCATGAGAGATACCTTTGCCGCGTGAATCAATCGTGAAATACAATCACAATCACTCACACTCGCACTCTCACAACTTAGAAGAATCGCCGCGCTTCTCTTGCGCACGATGATGCAGCTGCAGCACGCGCGCGACGGCCGGCGGTTCTGCTTCGCTTTCACGCAAGATCACGAGACTCGTCCTTGGCTTCATCGCTCCGCGGGTATGGAGCCACCATGTAGGGCGCCAAACAGAACCCACCATCCACCCATAGAAACTCGCCTGGCTCGAAATAGAGAGCAGGTGTCTGGGACACTGGACACTTGCTGAGCATCGTGATGTCGGCTTCTGATGCTCGAGGACCAACAGTTGCGCTGATGATGCGCAAGGTGTGCGGTAAAGAAATGATCA